TAAGCATTACTCCTGCAATAATGTCTTAAGTAGTCAGCTCAAAGAAAAAAAAAAATACATATAACCAGTATGTACATGTACAAGCCTCCTTAAGTCAGCCGAAATTACATCTTTATACTGGCTATCAAATGAGGTCAGAATCTTAAAGGCTATGAATGACTCTGGCAGTGATCTCAAAACCAACCCCAGTTCAGGTCAGCTTTACTGCACAAACTTCTTTTCCTCCTACTCTTTGTCCCTTTCCACTCTCCCTAAGAGTACATGACCTGCTTTGTGAGGAGGAAGGCACACATCCCAAATCTCTCAGAAGACACAGTGGCACAAGATATGATGTTATTTTCTTCTGAACATGTATGATTTCACAGGTTTCAGAGTTCTCAAACATGAAATTTAAATGAAAAATAAAAAAAGAATGTGAGCAAGCTTCCCAATTAAATGACGCAAGAACCAAAGACACAGGAAGTAAAGTTGCTGCCAAAGCAGGGTTGAGTGTTAAGTGTTCATCACATATAGCACTGCCCTTGGAACAAAAGCAGTAGTTATTTTAAGTAACCATAAGCAATACTCATGTGCAATTCAAAGGAGATCGGATATAAAGAGATAAAGATTAGAGTACAGCAATACGGCTTTCATTATACAATGTAATCCAGCATGTCTGATGTAACTGGATGTGACACAAATGTAAATAGCAACAGGTTTGGGAATACAGGGTTTTCAAAGTCTAACATGCTTATAAGCATAACTTTTAGTAAGTTCAAAAACAATCTTTGAAACAATGTTTTTCAAAAAGAACCCTCCACATACTTGCTAGAAGTATAATATGCATAAATAATTAGACATGTTATGCAAGATCAAACAGAAGTGCTATTTGAGAAAGAACAGAATATTGAACCTCACAAAGAGATGCGGGCACAAACACAAAGATCCTGGCCATTTAGAGATGCAGATGCATTTAAAGGCAAAATGGGACATCTTAAAATTTTTAAGTTTAACACAAGGCTTAAATAGGATACTTGCTTCAGAATAGGAAATAACTACAGATCCACCACACAGTGACTTAGCACTCAATTTCCTTACTAAACTACTATACTGGTATGTAATTTGCATTATATCCAAGGAAGATGTTTCACTTTTAAACATCAATGATTTTATTAATAGCTTATGGAATATTAAATAGAAATTAACATGACAAAAACTACCCACTTATTCCACTAATTCTTAGAATATTCAGATTCAAAAGAAATGTATTTGGGATTAAAAAGAAATACCTATGTTTTGTTAAGCACCATGTTCTTAAAATATTGATCCAAGAGCTTCAAAGTAAGCAAATGACTAATACTAATTCCAGGATGAACTGCTTCTTTGTAATATGATTACACAGTACAATGAGCAATGGGAACTTTGCACGTGAATTTAGGAGGTGCTGCTATAAAATACCAGTTTTTATAATGGGTATATATTTTATTTCATAAAATACACTTTCAAAGAGCAATAGCTAGGATGAGGCCTTGACTACCTCAGTTTTTTCTCAAAAGGAGGGAATTAATTTGGGTCCAGAAACATTTTTTATTTCTTTTAAAAGAAAAAAATGTTTTCTATGAACCACTAAAGTGTTTTTCTATTTATTCTGAGTTGTTAGAAACCAAAGTGTTTTCAAGAATGTCTAGATGTTTTCAGGTTACTATCATGTTAACTAACCTGAAACCCATAGATTAACTTTTGTCATGTACTGTTAAAGCTCTTTATAAAATCAATGTGTCCATCTCCTTCAGTATCTCAGGATGCAAGTCCTGTATGCCCCAATTACAAACCACTGAATCCACAACAGTGTTTGAAATATCTTAGTCTGTCTTTCTCCATCTTTATTCCTCTGTTCCTCCTTCTTCCTTTCTGCTCTTATACCTGTATTTGCCCATATCACCCTAAAAATACTTTACGTGGCATAATATGTATCTGATGCTAGCATACATTTTTGGTTATTTTTTTCAAATTATTTAAACACATTAAGGTTTGTATAAATGATTACTTACTCTAGAAAAGAATTCAAATATACAAGAATTTTCAAAACTAGTACATGGAGAATACCTTCCTAAATGTAGGCTATTTGCAGAAATCCTCAATATTAGGTTGATGCCAACTAACCTCACAACACAGATGAGGAGTTAGTGAATGCTGAGCCTGTCTGAAGGGCTGTTTGGGAAACTGTCCAGCAAACAGCAGCAATGAACCCCTGTACCAGTGGCTTCTTACACTATATTCCAGCTAAAGCATTTGGGGGCAGCTCCTCCCTCCCTCTTCCAGCACAAGGCCAAAAACATTAATTTAAAGCAAAGGAATAAAAGAGAGGGGAAGTTTCTAGAAGCAGGCACTGGCCTTGCCTGATGAGCAGCTGAGATTTGTGGTAGTTTTGGCTGATTCAGTCTCCTGAATTGGTCAGTCCACCTGCACTGCAACACATTTGAGAGCCCACTCAGGAATGGGCACGGTAAGGGAGCTTTACCCAGGTATCATGTGGCAGACAGGTTGCAGGCTGCCGGGCTGGCAGGCAAAAGGTGGCAATGACACGCCGAGTCCCATCCTGTGTAGGATTAATCAGGCTGAACCACCAACAGTATAATCGTTTTAAGTCACCTGTTCAACAGCTCCTTATAAAAAGCACACTCTGAGAACACTCAGACTATCCGTGACAAGTGCATGACAATTTAAGAAGCAACCAATTTTTCCACTGCAATGAAAGCATGTCTAGCCTCCAAGCCTCCCGACTCAAACTCTCATCTATTCTTTCACACCCATATGGTGTGAGTCTGAGCTTGCTCTCAGCTATGGGACCGGTCAGCTTGTCTTCTCCCCAACTGCTTTGCTATTTTAATCACACTGTGCTTGAAATTAAGCGTGACAGTCTCTCCACTACTGACCGAGTCAATCACTGGTGCAGCCCCAGCACTGTCTGCGGCAGCCAATAGCACACATACACGTAAGACAGCAAGTAGAGGACACAGGTAACAGCCCAGCCTTTCAGAAACCCACCAAATCATTCCTTAAGATGATCTTTAGGAGAGAAAGCAACAGGAGAGGTGTGATGAACTGAGAATCCCAACATTTTGGTACCACGCAGGCATCGCCAGGTGCCACGAGAAAGGACTAATCCCATCCATCAACACCGAACCTGAAACCCAGAAGTCAAATTACAGCGACAGCTGGCAAGAGCCAGTATGTCTCTAACTATGAAGCTTTAGCCCAATGCCGCAAAATTTCTTAAACAAGTCATTCTGAAACGTAATGAAGATGATGACACAACTAGGTCTCGTGTTTTTCAGATATGTACATTTCACCAGTGTGCTGTAAAATTAACCAATCAGCAACACTTGCCTGTGTATACAACCCCCCCCAAATGATACTGGTGTTCAAACCTTGCTCTCACTTAAGATTCCTTGCTCTCACTCAAGCTCAGTTGGAGTTGTGAATCCATGGCAGACCTAGAGCTTCAACCAGTCTGCCAACTGTTAAGTAATTCATTGCCAAGGTCAATTTGTAAAACTCACCATTGCTTTTTAAATTAAAAATCAATTCTGTATAATGTGAGTTAGATTTCTGACTGAACAGGAAATTATAAACTCCACCATTCTAAGGTTACATGAGAACAATTTGTGGTATTGAGTCTCCAAATCTAGAACACTTCCATGTTTTTTTGTATTTTGTTAACTGTTTAAGTGTATCTGTGATCCTCTAAAAGCAAATACATGTATTTGCTTTATCTGAAATTCAAAAATACAATTGGCTTTACTCTGCAGCATTGCCTGCAAAATAAACTGAGCATCCTGACTCAATTATTTTTCTTATGAATAAACTATATTAGGTTACATTTAGTGATCAATAAAATTACCATTTTATGATCAGCCTTTAAAGACAATAAAGCAGGAAGAGATGTAAATTTGACTACTAGACAGCAGGAAACACTAAAAGATAATACTGAATGAGAACTGCTGATTTGCCCATGTAAACTTCAGTAACTTTGGCTCTTTAGGGTTTTTTCTGTCCTTTCGCTCCTCCCTGCAGTCTGCAGTTCTGAAGGCTAGATGCATTTGGACCACCTTTTTCCATGAAGCCCACCTTGACACAAGTCCGATGTTTTATTTCTTAAAATACGAAACACTGACTTATGGAAGTGGGAAACCCGTAATGTAAATTTCCCCGGAGTTACTGATGCGTAATTTACAGGCTCGTTCTTTGCTCGGCGTTTGGCGACAGCTCTGTTCCGCGGTGCCGCCCTGGGCATTCCCGAGGTGCCGGCGCCGCTCCCCGCCGGCCGCTGCAGCACCCGCACTGCCGGCGGGCCATCTTGCTTCTGTTAGACCCACAGGAAATTAAATGTACCGAGCCTAAACCGTGGCCCACCTGAAGATGCCTAGGCGAGGAGTTTTAAAAGTTATTTTTGTTCGCTTTTCACGCACCACGCCGAAGGGCTCCGCTGCCGGAATCTTTCACGTTCAGCTTCTCTGGCAAGAGAAGCTCCCCGAGCTCACCAGCCCAGAACGACACCGCGGAAGGAGCAGCTCTACCCGGACCGGGGTCCCCGCGACCCAAGGCCGGGAATAGGCGGCCGCCCTCGGGCGAGCCGCGGGGCAGGGCAAGCCCCGGCTCCCTCCCCGCCGCCCCGCACGCCTCCACCATGTTGTCTCGGTGCGCAGCGGCGCGGAGGAGGGACCGCCGCCACCAGCCCGGCTCCGCGGGGGCCGCCCGGCTCCTCCCCGCGGCCTCCGGTTCGGGCGCGGAGGCGCTGCCCCGGCCGGGAAGTGCGGCGATCCCAGCCCGGAGCGCATGGAGGGAAACACGGTGCGGAGGAGGGGCCGCGGTGCCCACCGGAGATCCCGGCCATAGGGGCGGGGAGTCTCCTCCTCCTCCTCCTCCTCCTCCTCCCGCAGCGAGGCTCCAGCTCCCCGCACGCACCGGAGCACTCGGCTCCCTCCTCCTCGTCCCTCCTCCCTTCCCCTCCTCCCCGCTTCCCTCCCCGGGTCGCCGCGGCTCCGGGAGGAGCGGGGGGGCCCCCCGCTTCCTTCCCTTCCCCCCTCCTTCTCCCACCCGCCACGCCGAGGAGAGGCAGGTGAGGCCCCGGCCGCGTCCCCGCTCCGCCGCCCCACGGGAGCGGCGGCCGCGATGGCGGCGGCGATGGAGGCGCTAGGCCCTGGCCGCCCGCCCCCGGCCTCGCCCCGCCGCCGCGCCCCGGGGGTGGGGGGCGTCCCGTACCCCCGGCCCCTTCTCCTCGGCAGAAACTTTCTCGGCAACTTTCTCCCGGGCCCGAGCCCCTGCCCGCGGGGCCGAGGGGTCGGGCGGGCGGGAGCCGGGCTGCGCTGGGCGGGCTGCGCGGGGCGGGCTGCGGGCAGTAAGTTTGTGGGGGAGGGCCCCGTTACCCCCGCTTGGCCCGGTGCCCCCCCCGGCCCCTGCCCGCCGCGGCCGCTGCGGGCGGCTGCTCGTCCCCCGGCGGTGACGGCGTTCACTGCCCGGGCTGCTGCTCGGCGGGAGCCGCTCCCGGCTCCGCTCCCGGCGCGGGGCCGGAGGATGTGAAAGGGCAAAAATCAGGAGTCGCTTGTAGGTTGGCCTGCGTGGTTTTATGTTCTATTAATTTTTCTTCCCCCCCGCCCGACTGTTCTGGTTTATATCCCATTATCGAGCCTGGGACACGACCGCTTTACATTTCTGAGTCATTAATTTAAGCGTTCAGTCATCACACTTCATCAAGGCTACTTGTCTCCCTTGCAGTTTAAAAAAAAAATTGTTGGACACACAGGCCCCTGTTCCTGCGGAGTCTGCACATAACACTCTGTGTGGACACACAGGCTTGATGTCCTTAAAGTTGTGTGCTCGGGCTAAGGGCTAGTGTGACTTCTCCAATATTCAGTTTATTCAGTATTACAAATATGCGAAATTTATTATATGTATTATAATTTATTTATTAATATATGGGCTTCTATGTGTCTATCATATGTGAGTATGGTCCAACTGGCACTGGGAAAACTGGGACAAATATTTCTGAAGCTCATGTTGTAAAGGTGTATTTAGATGTACCTGCTGAATTTAACCCTAGACAGAGGCTGGTCATTAATTAAAAATTAGATGTTTGGGTTTACTTAAAGTGGCAGAATGTTCCAAAACCAGTTTTGAAACCTGGAGTGTGTTGACAAAGAAAGTGTATTGGTTTTCACATAATAATTCATAGACAGCTGAGTGATATTTCAGACAAATTTTGTAAGTGAAATTGATCTTAAGTCAGGGGAGCCAGATAAGCAAGTTTACTTCAGAGTCTTTTTCTTTCCTTTTTGGAAAGTAAGATGTTGAAGAGGGACAAAATTGCCTTGTCAGTTACCTTTGCTGTACCTCTGTTTGTAGGTAGTACCGTTCAGCCATAGCCATGTTTTTGTAGGCTTTATAGAAGTAAGAACATTTCCTTTCCAAACAACACTTTGAACCTTGCACTTCAACTCTTGTTTCTGATACGCGTCTGTAAATTTAGCTTATGCCCAGGTTCCTACTGGGCATAGGCATAGAGTGGAGGGGAGACTGTATTTTGCACAGCCTGGGTGTTGTGGTTAATTTTGGGACAAGGTAGCACCTCTGGTGGCAACAGAGACAGCAGCATGGGCACTGTGCTTCTGCTGAATTTCAAAGAAAAAGATCCAGTGGTACCAGGTGTGACAGTAGTTAATAGTAATAAATGCCAGCAATTAATTATTCTACATGCTTTGTTAGCTTCATTTCTTTAACAGGTGCAGCTCAAATAGAACTATAATCTCTGTGTGCCTTCAGTCCCTCTAATAACTCTTCTGGCTCTTAGAAGATTTCAAATAAATTTGGCAGCAGAGGTATCCCAGGTGAGCAGTTTCTACAAAATTTCTGGAAGTAAGGAAGCTAGGTAGGATGGAGCTTTTGACCTGCACACCAGAGAGTTTATGGCAACACTTGCCTCAAGCTGGAAATCGATGGAGGAAATGGAGCCTCCCTGGTTTCGCAGCTTGCAGAGCTACTGGTTCGGTTTTCAGTAGTTATTTAATACCTGGACCCCAGTACCGTTCTATCCAGAATGAAACTGGTGAACCCAAGGTAGCTTTAATCTGTATTTTGTATTATAAAGAGGGATTGTCAAGGAAATATTTGTTACTCAACAATAGTTCTTTGGCTACAAAACAAATGAATGGAATTGAAAGTATACTTAAATTTTTGCATTATTTTGGATAGCTGGAAAAATACTTAATACATTTTTGGTGTGCTGCACACTGTGTAACAGAATTATTGAAAAAGTCACAATATAGGAGTTTTTATCAAATTCATACAGCAGAGCAGAGAACTATTCTACTGCACCAAAGAAATGCTCTTTATTTTGAGCTTTGCACACTTCTGCAGCTTCTGAAGAATGAAATCATCACTGTGTTCTGTCTGATAAGTCATGGCGGTCATGTGACAGTGATGCAAAAGTCTGTGGTGTGGCACATGTGAGATTATTTGGTCAAAGTTTACTTTATGAATAAACTGGTTGTATGGTTTTACTTTTCCATATGCGCTACCTGTGGACAAGAGCTATACTTTCAATAGATAATTCAAAACTTTAGTTAAAAGAAATGTGTTCTTTCATCCATATTCCCTACTTGCATCCAACTGTTTTGCTGCCTAGTTTGATCCCAGTTTGAGTAAGATACCTTGATGTTAATTTAAAAATTGGTGTCAGTACTAACACGAAAATGGCTTTAGGAACGTGTCCTTATTCCGCTGTGTCGCATCAAGCAGCCTTTTCCAGGTAGGACACCTGTGTGTACGTACACAGCCTGTGGTTTCTGCAGAGTCTTTCTGAAAGGTTTCAGGCTTCTAGTACTGTGAGTCCTGTGCCTGTTGATGGAACAGATTGATCCATGAGGGAGAACTGCAGTTTCTCTTAACTACCGTAACAGAATGGATTAGTTTTTGTCTTGCAGGAATCACCTCCAGATACAAGTAGATAACTCAGTCTCAGGATGTATTTCATTTCTGTTCTCCTTGAGAGTGCCAGTAGGAGGTTGTTTTATAGTTATGAATTATATGATGTGGCAGCCTATTTTTTATACTTTTTTTAATGCAAACTGCTTTACAGTTGCCATACGGGAACTTCCTTCAATCACTATGGTCCCTGGCTGCATTTGCACCAATTATTAGAGCTGTAGGATTCCAGATTGTATCACCAATTGCTGGATTTTGAAGGAAAACCAGGACAACTTCCCATGTGTATGCTGAGTTTAGCAGGGAAAAGGTAATATTGAAAAGATACTGTCAAGTACTTGTAAGACAGGTTTAATTTTAGGTTATAAGAGGTCATTCTGACTGCCTTTTGCACTTAAGGCATCACTATCCTTGATGGTGCCGGTGCATCAAAACAGAAACTGGCACCAAAGTAAGTTACTGAAATGAGTGGGACTGCACCCTTAGGCAAAGTTAATATGCACGGCTGATTGCAGGATCAGAGATCAAGATAGTAACTTTAATGCTAGAAATTGAATAAGTAAACACTGTTACTTATGCATGATTTTGTTCCCTTTAGATTTACACACTTATTCTTTGAAGATGTAAAGGGTAGCCGGAAATAGGATGGGAAATGACCTCGTCATTTTGGATAGGCACCGCATAGGGAACCGAGTTTCATGCTGTGTCCCGTAAGTCAGTGGACCAAAGCCATGCACAGCTGAAATCAAGCCCTCGAGCTGGACTTCTAGCTGGCACTGGCTTGTATCCGAGCCCCACAGCTCAGTGGGACACTGCTGTAGAGATCATCACTAACTGCATTTAAGGCTGTGTTGACTGTTGTGGCCAGACTGGGGTTTTGTTTCAATTTTTCTTGACTGTAGTATTAGGTAATGTTATAGAGCATGGTTGGAGAATGCTGAGGAAGTAAAACCTCAGACTGGAATAATTTGTATTTTAGCTTCTTGAACACTGTTAGTTGTTTAGTAGGGAATTGGGAAACTGTTTTGCTAACCTGGCTGTATTTTATCTTTGTGTTTTTGGAAGGCAAATGCTTTTATGGTAGTATTACATGTGACTTTAATAGGTATCAATACTGACTGCACCTGTATCTTAAATGTTTATGTAAATTTTGAATTCTGATGGTGCTACTGACTATCAAATAATTTGTCTTTCAACTTGTCACTTCAGGGAGATGAAAAACTTCTATGGCTTAAGATGTTTCTGTGCCTTTTTTCACACCACAAGTCTAGAGGAGTCTGGGAAAAATAAATGATTCTTCAGAAGTGATGAACTCTTTTAGTTGAAGTTTTAGGATTATGTAGACCAGGCTTACCAGAGTGAATAGCTTTATTTAACTCCATTGACAGTGAAGTTGAGTAAACTCGCCCGCATAAGTAAATCTTTGTAGATCAGGGCCTTTGTTTTGGAGAAACTTTCAGGAGAATTTTGTGGCATTAATCACACATTTAAACTCAGTCTTCATATTGGGAGAGTTTGATTTAGTAAGGTTAAGTTCCTTTGCACACGCCCAAAGCACTCTAGTGTTGGAAAACTGAGGCAGTAGTAGTGTTTTAATCGTGAAGTGAATTACGGAGTATAAATTCAGGCAGGCCTCAGGTATGCTTCTCAGGACTGACAGCCCTGTAGAAAAGAAGGGTCAGAGTGGAGGATGGTGTTCATGTTCCAAATGTTTGTCCGTAGTTCAGGCAAACATTTTGATGGTGCATGCAAACTTCAGAAATAAAATAATGTATCTGGGCTAAAGGTTTTGAAATTTTCAACCCTACCTATTGGCCTCACAATTGTAAGAAAAGGCAGTGCTTGTGTGAGGTATTTAAAGAGTAATTAGAGGGTGCTATGGATCTCTTGTGTATTGCAACAGTATAGCATTTTAACTGTTTTGGCAGTCAGCCAGGAAAGGGAGGCTTAAAACAAATTAATAGTGAACAATCCAGTTTTAATAAGTTATTTTAAGTGTGGTTAGATAACAACATTAATATTTATTCTTAAAATGTGACAAAGAAAAAACAGGTCTCAGTATGTTGTATGTATCTTCTATTTTATTGGAAACTAAAATCATGATTGATGCTCATAACCAGAAGAGTAGAAGAGAAACCC